TCGATACTATACAAATACCGCCGTATTTACGGTATCAGTACGATCCTGACTTACCATATAACTAAGGAAATAAAACATGTCCGCACGGGTTTAACTTACTAGTTTAGTATGCATTATTTGGTAGAAGCTAAGAGATAGACCAAATTAAAGTTTGAACCTGGACAACGATACTGTTGAGATTAATTACTCCAAAGTTGGCAGTGATTTACCTCCTCCCAAAGAAAACAAATTAAAGCATCTCTGATCTCATGATAAATATACATCATAGCTTATCATCTAAATTTTTAATTGAAATCAAACACGTCAACATACATAAAATGCAGGTGTTCAATGTAGGGACGATATCTTGCAGCCGTCGCAGCACGTCCCCTGCAAAACGCTCAAGAACAGTTTATCATTGCAAGGCAAGACGAGGTGGGAGCAGCCGCCGGCGCCGGCGCCGGCGAACCCGAAAACCCGCTCCGCTTGATACAGCAGCGACACGAACAGAGGGTGCCTTAACACACTCAACTTCACCACATATCTGATCCGTTCTTCGCCGACGTACACCACAAAATGGCCTTCCGGAACATCTCCGGGGACCGCCGCCTCCTTTTCACGCAACCGGCAACGCAGCCACCACCCAACCGGAACCCTAATTTTACCGCCCCAATTCCGACACCTCATAACTATTCCATCATTCATGGAATTAAAACCAATAATTTCCCTCCATTTTCTGAGCCATTTCTTGTGGAATAAATTTATCTTTCTTCTCTTCATGCATATGTATTGTATGTAGTACTCTAGTCAGAAGTGCATGTGTATATATAGTACAACGTAGTATACGACATTATATATATATATATATATATATATATATATATATATATATATATTAATTGGGTATATTTGATCCGTGATGGATACATATAATTTGCCATGATCGTGCTTGTTGGTAGGTAGAAGCTATCTTTCTTGGTTTTATGCGAAAATATCGAGATGAATTGAACAGTATTATAAGCACGAAGTACAATCATGCATGCATGTTGGGAATATAAAAATCTAGAAACACACGATGTTCCAGAAGCCACGTAATCAGACATTGAACCGCCAACGGTTTTAGATATACATGCATGCATGGTTTGTATCCGATACGTTAGGGCAATTTAAGACAAAGATCCAATGTTGGGTTTGGACAACATAGTATGGGCAAACACAGACGACTATATATTCACCATTTGTTATTTCTATATATATGTTACGTTAATCAAAGGTAATTGCAAATATTGCAACATTATTACTTTTTGGATGATAACTGCAATTTGTAGTCATTACTTGATTATGTATATTGATGGAACTATATGACCCAGGGTATGTAATTACTCAGATCAATAAGCTCGTATAAAATAATATAATAGGATAAAAGGTAGACAATTGCGTGGAATTGTATTGGTATTAGATGGAATAGAGCCAAACTATTACAAGTAGATTGTAATATAATAATGAGACGTGATAAGACATAGAATGTCTTGTAGGGAAATTATACACATAATGTCTTGTAATGAGGTTATTGAACCTGCTTTGTATAGGCTAGATATTGGCTATTTATATAAGGCAAACTCAACTGACTTCAACTAAATAAGTGGTAATTACATGACCAAGTCAGGTAGATCCCCGTTTAAGCCAAAAAGAAGATGTATGGGCGAAACTTAGCCATACCTTGGCCCCGGAGATGGGCTCTGGGGTGCCCAAACATCGTCCGGGGCATTTCCTTGCATCTTTTTTGTTTTTTAACCACTTTTTTTCAATTCTTATTCTTCTTATGTTTTGGATGATAAAGGTCGGAAACACATAATCACTATTTAATAATGCATGACATGATCGAGTAAACCTCATTCATATGTAATAGTTGACAAATTGGATGGAGCTAATTGACCCAGGGTATGCGATTATGTGTGGATAATTAGCTAAGTTCACATAAAATATAAATGTAATGACAAAATGGCAAAAGGATTAATTGTAGTAATAATGATTGAATTAATGCAAGAGCATTACAAAGTATGTTGTGTTATAATAAAACATTATAAGGATTTTGTAGGAATAGAGCATGATTTGCCTAAATTAGGACATAGGCTATTTATACAAGAAAAGTCTAACAAACTTAGCTAAATCATGGTGGGTAGCGGGAACGGGTCAAACTCCACGGACCGTTCGCACGACTTGGTCCAGACCAACCATCTCGGCCCCCGAGACGGGAATGTTTGGGTGCCCCGGAGGCCGGCCCCGAGTCGTATACATAGGTCCGAGCTACTTTGGTTCATACCACCTTAGTTCGAATCGCCTTGCTCGGCTCGGATCGGACCACCTTTGTCCGGTTGCCTTCCTTGGTCTGGATCGCCTCTATTGGGCTCCCGGATTGTGGACTCTTCTTAAATCGTTCAGGTCATCTTCTTGGGCTATGGGTCTCGGATGCCGAGTCCCTATTTTGGGGTCATTTTTAATATATCAATTAAAGTAATACAAGAGAAATAAAGTGTACTACGAAAAACCAGGACTATGTGGTCTAATGGTACCCGGGTTGGACTTCCATTTGGAAGGTTATGAGTTCGAGCCTCAGTTCTTTGTGTTTCAGTAGGTTGAGAAAGTATATGAACAGATACTACAATGTAATAGAACCAGTAGCTTTCAAAAAAAAAAAAAAAAAAAAAAAAAAGTGTACTACGAAAACATATGCTACGGACTCAACCAATTATTGCATCCGGCCTCCTGCATTATTTATTAATAGTGGGGTTGGGTGGATGTAGATGATTTTGATAATTAATGTAATCTGTCAACCTCTATCTAAGAATGGGTATGTTCTTTAGTTGATATATATAGATATTAAATAACCAACTTGTATTCAAATTAAAAATATAATTAATTAAGTTGTTAGCCCCACTAGATTTTAATGTTTGTTTTACCACTAAGAATCAAGTAGGCACAGTTTTTTTTTTTTTTTTAAATTAATATAAACCATATTTAGTAGTTGACAAGTGGGATATAATATGTTATTATTAGTTAGAATAAGGAAAATGATCTCGAAAGAGGTGAGTATATGAAACATTATTCTCATATCAGAAAGTTATGGATCAAATCTTTGTTAACATCCTCTCACTTAGACACGTCATATATGATCTTTATAATACTGTTTATCTCTCATATTCTTTGTACAGAGTATTTTTTTAATAATAAAAATGTAATAACAGACTTTAATACTGATGCATCTCTTGCTAAACACATAACAACGTTGTGGTCTTAGGATGGGTGTTAATGGATGATGAAGGTCATTTTTTGGTTGCGAAAGGGGTGCGAATATCTGGGTACTATGACATCAAAGAAGCTGAAGTAGTGTGCGTTTGAGCGCTGAGTTGGCTTAAGGGAACGGAAATGGGAGAGGTCGATGTTGAGACCGACTCTCAGATAGTTTATCATGCTTTATATGTTCTTTGTCTTGTTGTTCTGCTTTTGGTTTTATTTTAGATGATGTAAAAGAACTTGCATCTTCGATAATTGATGTTAACTTCTCCTTATGTTAAGTGATTTGCAAATCGTGCGGATTGTTGCTCGAGAAGCCATTTCTTTGTCAAGTTGCGGAGAGTGGTTCGATAGCCCGCCCTCATTTTCTTGTTGATTGCTTTTCTTCCGATTTAATGAATTAAATGTTCTCTTTCAAAAAAAAAAAGATCACACAAAATAATAATATTTAGTGATGAGAGAAATCTACAATGAAACATTATCTATAACAATGTTGTGTTTGGTAAGAACTAGATTTCCAGAGAATTAGACCAACAAAAAAAGTAAAAGAAAATTTGAATATTTTGTAGTAAAAACGGTGGGTTTGCATGATACAGCGGGCCGAAAGGAGCCAAAGGAAAGAAGGTCGCTGCTAAAATGCGCGGGTAAATTGGTGCGCAGTTGCGTACCGCAACGCGACCGATCAAAACAATTAAAATCGATTTACACGGGCTTAGTTCAATGGTTCAATACACACTATTTAAAAGTAGAAATTAGAGTTTGAATTTCAACAACAATACTGTGAGGATTATGTTTAAGTAAATAGATTATTTGTGCCCACCGACATTTAACAGTGTATGCTGACCTTTGATTTACTTCATTTAAGAGTCCGTTTGGAAAGCCGGAAAATAACATCTGGAAAATGACTTCTAGAAAATGACTCATTTTCCAGAAAACATTTTCTTTTCCCGTGTTTGACTGCACAATGGAAAACTGTTTTTTTTTTTTTTTTTTTTTTGTGTTTGGCTCATTTTCCAGAAAATGTAGAATATAATTTTTTTTTTTTTTTCAAATTATATGCAACATAAATTTTGATTGTATTTAATCACAATGTCTTTGCTCTTAATTTACATTTCTAGTACTCAAACTATTCTCAATCCATTTCCTTATCAAGAAATAAACAATTTAGCATTAGAAACTCACATTAAAAAAAAAAAAAAGAAGAAGAAGAAGAAGAAGCATTGGAACCTACTGGTTTTCGGAAACCAGTTCACTGGTTTCTGATCGGAACTAGTTGAACTGGTTTCCCCAGCCGGAAACCGGCTGAGGAAACCAGTGAAGAAGACAACCGTTGATGAAGCTTTGTTGAAGGAGGAGGCGGAGGAAGTCTGAAGCAGTGATGAACGTGAAATTAGAAGATGGAAAATGACTTCCCTCCAAAAAAATGGGAAGTCATTTTTCAAAAATTTTGCCTCATTTTCATTGACTTGTCTTCATTTTTTTTTGACCACTTAATTTTTTGCCTAGCCAAACACCAAATATTCGAAAAATAATTTTCAAAAATTATTTTTCAAGTTTCCAAACAGAACTTAAATGTTCTGTGGAGTACTGGAGTTGGGATGTGGGACCCTTGAAATCGGGAATTTAATCTTTTGACAAAAGAACATAAATATCGTACGGGCGCGTTACAGACCAGCAATATAATGCTAAGCATGGTACCATATCATATCCGGCGCAGGATAAGTGAACCTGTACGCAGTGATACTATTGTGCGCACTTCCGAATCTCCCTAGATAACCTAATTCTTCGGATTTCTGCATTTCGGTTTGACTCCTCTCTGTCTCTCTGCGCCCGTGTCTCCGGTGCCGTTTAAGGGCCAATCCTCCATAGAAGCTACAGGTTCTACTGTTAAAGTGTTGTTTAAATTCCATTGAATTGTTTTTGCTTTTGTGGGAAGAGGGACCTTAATGCGGTTTGTTTCCTGAATCTAGGTTTTTAGCATCATGCTTAGTGTGTTGTGATTGGAGTATACCTGTTTGATTACTCGAGTTTTGTTAGCTGTGTTGAGTTGTTTGGTTATGGTTCTGTATCCTGGTTGGTGATGAAGAATGTGGAAATGGCCCAATGGCTCAAAGGGCTGCCACTGGCGCCCGAATTTCGCCCCACAGATACAGAATTCTCTGACCCGATTGCTTACATTTCTAAAATCGAGAGAGAAGCTAGTGCTTTTGGTATATGTAAAGTGATTCCACCGTTTCCTAAGCCTTCAAAGAAATATGTGCTCCATAACTTGAATAAATCACTCTCAAAGTGTCCGGAGTTGGGTTCTGATGTAAAGGTTAGCTCTTCGTCGAAAATGAGTGATGGGGATAAGAGGAATGGTGATCATAGGGAGGTTAGGGCCTTCTTTACTACTAGGCGCCAGGAATTGGGCCGGAGTGAGAAGAAGAAGATGAAAGGGATGGGTGGGAGCCAGCCATTTGGAGCTCAGAAACAGGTGTGGCAGAGTGGAGAAGCCTACACATTGGATCAGTTTGAAGCAAAGTCAAAGGCTTTTGCTAGGAATCAATTAGGCACGGTTAAGGATGTTTCACCATTGGCTGTTGAGGCAATGTTTTGGAAGGCAGTTTCTCAAGAGCCTGTTTATGTAGAGTATGCTAATGATGTGCCTGGTTCAGGTTTTGGAGAACCCCAGGGTGTTTCTAGTATTTATAGAAAAAAGAGGAGGAGGAGGAAGAGGGCAGTGTTTGATAGAAACAATACAAAAACTTGTGATAGCGAGAATGAAGTAGATATTCTTGATAGTGATAATATAGATAAAGATTCATGTTGTGCTAGTCCTAATTTATGTACAGAGTCACCATCTGCTTGTTCAACATCCTCTCAACAAAGTCAAATTTCACCAGTACCTGGGCCAAAGGGTTTAAGTGACAGTAATGACGTTGAAGGTACTGCTGGTTGGAAGCTAGCAAACAGTGCCTGGAATTTACAAGCAATAGCAAGGTCACCTGGATCAATAACCCGTTATATGCCGGATGATATTCCTGGGGTTACTTCTCCTATGGTCTATATTGGTATGTTATTCAGTTGGTTTGCTTGGCATGTTGAAGACCATGAGCTTCACAGCTTGAATTTCCTTCACATGGGATCCCCAAAAACTTGGTATGCAGTGCCGGGTGACTATGCATTTAAATTCGAAGAAGTCACTCGAGTCCATGCTTATGGAGACAGTACTGACCGTTTAGGTATGCAAGTGCTTTCTGTAAAGCATGTACCAACTTCATAGAGTCAGGAGATTTTAATGGCACCTTGATGTTCTCATTTTCAGGCTTTTTTCTGTTTAACTACTTAAACTGCTTACCCAAGATTGCAAGATCGGTTTATGTATCAGTTCAATCTATTTCTGAACAAAAACAAATAAGTATAGGAATTATATTGGGGAACTCGCATTGAAGGAATACACCCCCCCCCCCCCCCCCCCCCCACACACACACACACACACACACACACACACACACACACAGAAACAATGAAGGCCTTTTCCTTATAGAATGAGAAGCCAGTTTCCTTAAATATTCCTTTTTAATGTTTTGATTTATATATGCATGTCTTATTTGGATAAGATTCTGCTATAAAGCTATGTAAACAGTGGTAAAATGGCATCTCTGACCTTTTGAATACTTAACAGATTAGTATACAAAATTTGATTTTCTTAAGCCAAAGCCAACTCATGTAGTCATGTTTAAAGTTATAGTGGTGATCACTAACATCTGCGCTGGAATATTTAACTTACTCATTCAGCATGTATTCATCCAATTGCTTGGTAATCTGCAGCTGCTCTCACTCTATTGGGTGAGAAAACTACTCTTCTATCACCTGAAGTAATTGTTTCATCAGGCATCCCCTGTTGCAGGTGGGCACCTATTGTGTAGCACCATCTTTATTTATTTGATTATCTCTTTCTAATTTTGTACTTCTGGCTGAGAGGATATGATTTCCTTGGACATGTTAGTGACTCTAGTTGTATATTCCAATTGTCTTGTTTTCCAATATCTCAATATCTACCTTGGCTTTCTTTTTTTCTTAGGTTAGTACAGTACCCTGGAGAATTTGTGGTTACTTTTCCAAGGGCGTACCACATAGGATTCAGTCATGGTAATTGCTTTACTTTGTTTACATAATGGAGTATTTTCTTTTTGTTTATGTTGTTCAAATCTTCATTCATACGGCCCCTTTAATTAAGTATGTCAGATTACTCATATACTGAATCTAATTATCTTTGTTCCAAATTTTTGAAGAGTCAACTTTACTCCAAAGACTACAGTTTCTGAGTTTCAACTGAGGGCCTATATTTTTAATATGTTTGGCTGAAATGTTGTGCTTTCCTTGCTATCAGCTATAAGCTCATTATGTTAAAAATGTTAAAATGTGTTTGCAGTAATGAGTTTGTGTGAAGTTAGGGATAGGAAATATCAATACTCAATAGTATTCATATGATTTTTGTTACATCTTTTGATCCTTTATTGTTTGGTCAATCTGTTTTTTTTTTTTTTCTTCATGCGTCCGGGATTTTAACTCTTTGCTTGTGAAACTTAAATTCTCTCTTAATATTGTGTCAACTGCTATTTGTTGTTTTCTCATACTTCACTTTCTCTTTTCAGGTTTCAATTGTGGAGAGGCTGCTAACTTTGGAACTCCACAGTGGCTTACAGTAGCTAAAGATGCTGCAGTTCGTCGAGCAGCCATGAATTACCTTCCCATGCTTTCTCATCAGCAGTTGCTATACCTATTGACCATGTCTTTTGTTTCAAGGTCAGCTTGTAAGCTTTCATTTCAGCCTTAATGAACTAATTATCAACAATAAAAAAAAAAGATAAAAAATTCATATATAATGTGCTGATTTGTTGCGTCTATATGTTGGCATTAAGCATTTATTTTTATTCTTTCCAAATGATATTCTATCTAATCCTGGTTTTTGCCCTAAGAGTCTAAGGCAACAAAATTCGCAGACTCCGTATTCCTGAATTTACAAACTGATCATGTCTAACTTGGCATGGTATCTAGGTTAATTTCTGAGTTCTGTAGCATATTTGTTTATGAATGGGTCCACATTGATGTTAAACCTTGATTACATTTTCAACAGGTTACAAAAAATATAAATAAGGATAAAATTTTTGTATGGAAAAACTTATCCATTAAGGGTGTGTTTGGAAACCAGGAAAATGACTTCTGAAAAATGTTTTCTGGAAAATGAGTTATTTTCCAGAAATAGTTTCATTTGTAGTGTTTGGTTGCATTCTGGAAAACTGTCTTGGTGTGTTTGGTTCATTTTCTAGAAAATGAGTAGAATTATTTAATTAAATATTTTAATTGTTTTATTTAGAATATAAAAATATTTATAATAATATTAAAAATAATGTTATTTATTAAAATTATTATTATTATTTAAATATGGTTTCCGGCGGAAACCAAGGTCGGAAACGATTATGAACTGACTTGGTCTGTAGAAAATGACTTCCACCAAATTTTGGCGGAAGTCATTTTCCTCCAAAATAGCCTTCCAGAGTCAACGGAAAATGATTTCTGTTGACTTGATTTTCTAGGCACATCCAAACACCGGAAACTCGGAAAATTTTCCGGGTTTCCAAACACACCCTAAAGGGGGAAAACCTGTTATATTGAATTAGACATTAATTTGGGTAGTCCAAAAAGGTTCAATAAATATCATATGCATTTGGTCTTCCATTACATCTCAGCTTCCAGTTCATGGATAACTTCTTGGCAGTTTTCCTGGTACTACTTACTATTTTGCTCCATTGATTATGAAGTTGAAATCTCATATTGCATCTCATGTTTTAGGTACTATATAGCCTTTAATTACTGAATGCTCTTCAAACATAACTCTTTTTAAAAAAAATAATTTGATTGACAGAGTGCCAAAGTCATTGCTACCAGGGGTGCGTAGCTCACGCTTGAGAGATCGCCAGAAGGAAGAAAGAGAGACTTTGGTGAAGAAAGCATTTGTGGAAGATGTTATAAAGGAGAATGAGCTAGTAACCATTTTACTACAGAAAAATTCCTCTTACCAAGCAGTACTTTGGGATGTCAATATGTTGCCATCTTCTAGTAAAGAATTTGAATTACAAAAGTGTGTTGGTATTGATGTAAAAACAACAAAAGGGAGTGAACAAACTGAGAACTACGACAGTCCGGATCTTTTAAGCCAGATGAACTCATATATGGAAAGTTTAAGTGATTTTTGTGTGGATGATGATGATTTGTCAAACGACTTCCATATCGATTCTGGTGCATTACCTTGTATAGCTTGTGGAATACTGGGTTTTCCATTTATGGCTGTTGTAGAACCATCAGAGAAAGCAGCAAAGAACTTTTTCTTGGAGGATTGTCATACAAATGAAAACATAGGAGACCTAAAAGACGTGGAGTCACATTCCCATTCACTACAGGATGACATAGTAGAGGGCAATGGTGCAGGTATTCTATCCATCAATTCTGTAGTGTTCTACATTGGTCTTAGTCAAATGGTTGCCGGCCTTTTAGGCATTTCCTAATTATGTATTTATGTTATGAACAAAATAGAAATCAAATTTAAATTAGTTTCTGACATAAAAATAATGGTCCTTTAGGTACCTTCCTGGTATGTTCACCATGGAAGAATTATTTTTCTATTTGAATTCCATTTGAACCTGCCTACTTTGTATGCTGTTATTAATTGCTTCTGAAATGTTTTAGCCCTAATGCCACTAGTTGGAAAACCTTGGTTAATTGATTTTGAGGCATTCTGTTACATAGTATCCCCCATCTTATTAAAAATTCCGAATTTTTGTTCTTGTTTTCTGTTTGGAAAATGAGAAACTATTGGAATTCATCAGTTCTCTTTTTTTAATCTGCTGCAGTAGATAGGTCAATGCCACCCAAGAGGTTTGTCCTTCATTCTCAGGAAATGTGTTCTCGTGCTGACTCAAGACCGTCTTCTATATCTCATATGGAGGATCAACCTCCATTAGATGGCCATTCTATATCTCCAAGGACTGTTGCTGTCAATCTTGAAGGGAAACAGGATGTATATAATAAATTTCTAAGGCCACACGTATTTTGCCTTGAGCATGCAATTCAAACAGAAGAGTTGCTGCGTTCAAGAGGTGGAGCAAAAGTTCTTATTATCTGCCATTCAGGTCAGGGATCTCTTGGATCGTTATTTGTGAACCAAAAACAAAAAGAAATTTTATTTGCTTTTCTGACACATTGATATATTTGTTTGGTAATTGATGCACTTGTCTGCGTCTTCTTATTCATGCAGACTTCCAGAAAATAAGAGCTTATGCAACATGTATTGCAGAGGAAATGGACACTGCATCTGTCTATAATGAGATTCCTTTAGATAATGCATCTGATGAACATCTTCGCTTTATTGATCTTGCAATTGAAGATGGAAACAGCGAATGTGTTGAAGACTGGACGTCAAAACTATGTATCAATTTGCTGCATTCTGTGAAGTTGAGTAGAAATTGTCCAGCCAAGAAACTACAGTATGCATTGATTCTGAGCAGATTGTTCCCTGAAAAAACCCTCAGTACAAAATGTTTGAGTTTCAAATGGGAATCCAGAAAAGTACGCTCAAAAAGGAAGTTAAATTGTCAAGCAGAAAGCAAACCATCTATGTCTCTGAAAATGGAAGAGGAGAAGGGTTTAGGAGCAAAGTTAGACGTTCAAACAGTGAGAGAAAGAAATATAATCATTCAGTATACAAGAAAACGATATAAGTTGAAGCCTTGTGCTTCTACTGATGTCAGTAAGGCCTTTGTAGAAAGTAATACTCTCTTTCCTCGTGAAATCTCTAATGCTGATGAAAAAGCAAGATGTGAATCAGAAAGTACTCCAATCAGAAATGGACGCGCAGGAGCTGGTTCTTTAGATATGAGCGTCTGCACCTTAGCTTCTAAAGAGATGCCAGAATTGCAGGTTGAGTGTCAGACACCGACTATAGAGGACCAAAATGAAACTTCACATTCAAAACATTCTCCCGTTGTCACCACTGTAGTGGTTGAAAACCCTTTGGCCCACCCTAAAGACTCCAAGTCAGAGAAACCTGACACGGATCTTCCAGATCCTGAAATAGAATCAAATAAAATGCCCTTGCTACACGAAGTGAATGATGTTGAGAGCAGTGTACATATTGAGAGAGTTAATTTTGAAGCTTCGGCTTGTTCAGTTGTAACTGCTGTTTGTAGTGCTGAAGTTTCTGAAAGTCTGAAGCAGCCTGATTGTACAGAGATCAGCATCACAGAGAAGGCTATAGATCTCCCTAGAATGCATGGTTCTGAGAGAGGTGATGGTTTTGTGACAGGAGTGTATGTTCCCACCAACTCCTCGGGATCTTGCAGTGATTGCCCTTCTGAACAAAGATCAGATGAAGAACTAGCAGAGCAAATAGCTGAAGGTCAAGTTGGCAGAGGCGTTGAGGCATCTGATTTGGATGATGCCAATCACCTTGTGGTGACGCCCTCATCTACTGCAAATGTTGGAGGCAAAAGAAGAAGAGAGCTGGAGATGCTTATAGGGAATGGGGGATGTAATGTTGGTGTCTTTGTCAAAAGTCCTTGTGAAGGCCTAAGGCCGAGGGCCAGGAAAGATGCTACATCTGGATGTACAGGTGATAGTAAGATAACTGTTGACGAAAAACCATCAGCCAGGAAACTGAGGAACTGTTCAGAGAAATCTTCAACTTGCAAGGATAAGAAAGAGCAAACGAGAGGATCACACAGGTGTGACTTTGAAGGGTGTAGAATGAGTTTCCAAACAAAGACAGAGCTATCCCTGCACAAACGTAATCGCTGTCCCGTCGATGGTTGTGGGAAGAAGTTTAACTCCCATAAATATGCTCTACTTCATCAACGTGTCCATGAAGACGATAGACCCCTTAAATGTCCGTGGAAGGGTTGCACCATGTCATTTAAGTGGGCGTGGGCAAGAACTGAACATTTACGTGTCCACACTGGGGAGCGGCCATACAAGTGCAAGGTTGAAGGATGCGGCCTCACCTTCAGGTTTGTGTCAGATTTTAGTCGACATAGACGTAAAACTGGGCATCACAGCAGGTGATCCAAGTCCAAATCTGGTTTTGTCTCATCAGGCAGGTTGGTTCTGTAATTTAGCTACTCTTTGATTGAAAAAAATCACTTAAACTAATTTGATCAGGTCAGGTCATTTAGCTTTTGTTAATCTCAAAGAACCTCAGCATAGGGTAGGTGTAGCCTGATACTTCTGTAGCTCCTACTATGTATGGGACTGATTGCATCTTGCAATTAAACCCAACCCCCCCATTAAGATTTATTATTCTTTAGGGAACTTCATATTTGTAAGATGCATCCTTGATGCTTGTCTGGATCCTCAGATCCTATGTTGTCATTTTGTCCTGAAACATGGCTCAAGGAACTAGATTCTATCATGTTGGCAGGTTGGGTTTTCTTCCCACCATTTGGAATTCTATGTTAATGATCCATATTAGCTTCACTTCTGGTCTGCATTGTTCTTTTTTGGGTGACGAGGAAAATCTATAATCACTACTCGAGGGTCTGCAATGTCTGCATATGTTCTTATTACTCTATTAAGTAGTAGATGACTAAAATGGCTAATTGTAACAACTTCCTAATAAATTTCGTTCAAAATTTTTTGAACTCATGACTTTTGGTCTGGCTCTAATATCAAAAATTGAAACATGTGTTCCATCTCTACTAAAAGTCTAAGCTGATAGTTGGATTGTACAATAATGATTATATGCTCAACAGATAGTTAATTAAGTACAAGATGATTGGTTAAAGTATAATTTCATAGAATCCAAAAATTAAAAGAAAGTGGTCTCTATATAAATCCTTGTATTGTGATTTGTGAAAGCAAAAAAATTTCACAATATCTTCTTTGTTGTGTCTACACTTTCTTCTTCATTCTTCTGGACTCTTCTCGACTCTTGGAAAGTAGAAAAGATGGCAGCCGCCGCCCCACCGCCTGCGCCTACCTCCGCGCCGGAAGTGTTCAAGGAGGAGATAGTTCCGACCGGCCACCGAGTTTTCACACGCATCAGTCTCGCCACACGCGCCGACGTCCCCCACATACACAAGCTTATCCATCAGATGGCCGTTTTCGAGCGTCTTACCCACCTCTTCTCCGCCACCGAAGCCTCTCTCTCCGATACCCTCTTCCCCGCTGCTAATCCCCTCCCGCCATTCGCCTCTTTCACCGTCTTCATCCTTGAAGTCTCACCCAATCCCTTCCTGCCTGCCCCTGCAAACCCTCATTTCACTCCGATCGACAAAATCGTTACTCTCGACCTCCCAATCGACGACCCGGACGCCGCAACATTCCAGTCCCGAGCCCTAACCGGCGCCACTGTTGCCGGATACGCCCTATTTTTCCCCAATTACTCCTCGTTTCTGGCGAAACCGGGGTTCTACATCGAGGATATATTCGTCCGGGAGGCCTATCGGAGGAAGGGATTCGGGCGGATGCTGCTGTCGGCCGTGGCGGCTCAGGCGGCGAAGATGGGGTACGGGAGAGTTGAATGGGTGGTGCTGGATTGGAACGTGAATGCGATTAGGTTTTACGAGCAGATGGGGGCTGAGGTCCACCAGGAATGGCGCATTTGTAGACTTTCCGGCGAGGCTCTCCAGGCATACGCTCATCCCCACATTTGATCAAGCTCCTCCTGGTGATTATTATCTACTAATCTTTCTTTCCTCTACAAATCTTTATATCTTTCTGTTCTCTAAATGTGTTTGTCTAATTGTGTTGATGGATAGCAATGGCTTCTGGATTCACTCTCCAGATTCCTGTTGGATTTTAGAAATTCCAACTTTTGCAGTATCAATCTTGTTTCTTTGCTCCATTCAATAATACCTGCTTCTAGCTAATTTGTAGTTGATTTAGTGTGGGATTCTGATTCTCCGAAAAGCAGTAGAATTGTTTTCCCAGTTAGAGAATCATTCCCATATGAATGATATCAATTTGTGTGCTTATATTTGGTTTTCTTCATCTCCATTGATTTCACTTTGCTAAAACCAGAATAGAAATCATTTGTCTTTCACACTCTCACAATCTCTAAGGTGGGGGTGAGGGACTATCAAGTTTAAGGTTTAAATCTAAAAAAGTTACCATGAACACCAAAATATAAATATTTTAAAAAATTTGTAGATTCTTGAAGATCTCCCTGACTTACTTTACTGAGAGTTGTCATCCGCAAAATTGTTGTAATCATCAGCCACAATTTCATTTATGCTTCCAAGAATGGCATACCACAAGTCACAGTGGCTTCATATTTTCTTTTGAGTTTTTACTTTTCAGTTGATAGAATGTTTATGAGTCTATGTTCCCAATAGAATTAAGTTTGAAATTTGAATGAATAAATAATTTGAGTATGTATGTGCATGTGCTCCAATTTTAGGGTTTGATGAGTGTTATGTTTGTGGCACACCATGAATCAAAATAATGTTGACTGTTGTGATGGTGAGATATTAAAATCATATTTTAATCACAACACTAATTCAAGTCTATTCTATTACTTCCAACCCCCTAGTCAATGCCCAATATCCAACAATTTCACCATTCCATTGTAAGATAATATTAGTAATCTACCAACTAATATACACAATGAAAATAATAATAATAATCCATTCTGATGACTAGTGAGTGGGGTCCACATTTGGGACTGAGTATATTTTTAAGCTTTCTTTGCACCTTCCTTTAAAAAAAAAAAAAAAAAAAAAAAAATTTAACTTATGCCCTTCACAAATATACAAATTATTAATATCACTTCTAAATTATTAGTAGTGTAAATTTGGTTGTCCATCGTTTCCCTGTTCAAAGACTTTATTTCAATTTTTTTCTTCGTTTGTTCTCCTTTCGTTAATAACAATGTTTCTCATTCTTTCTATTAGGGGAAGGACAATATATGCCACAATTTAAAAATTGAGGGGTAACATTTACACCACTTATAATTCATGAGCGACATTGATAATTGTCATATTTGTGAGAAGCATAAATTACGATTTTCTCTTGTAAAAATAAAATGACGAAAATATTTTAGTTTTAAAAAAATAAAAAAGAAAAAGAGTATATTATAAAGAAATTATTTATCGATTTTCATTTGACATTTTTAAATGGATTATTGATCTAATGAATGAAAAATTTCACTTAAGACATACTTTCGACGACAGGATATAGTTCAATTTCTATTACAAATATCTTGAAACTAAATTGGGTTTAGACTTTTTGTGGGCAACGTATGAGATCAACATATTCATGATTATTGCCCACAAAAAGTAATTTTCTAATTTCTAAGACCCTATACTCTGATCCGACAAAATAGTGAAGGAACAAATTATGATAACTCAACGACTCACTAAGTAGGAAGATCAATGTTTGATGTTCACAAGAAGCTCACTACATTTGGTGTCACTTCTATACTTCGACCATTAAAATTTAGTCATGTATCATTATTCATATTCACTAAGAATCAACTGAATTGTCTGCACCATTTCATGATTATTGCATCATCAAATAGTGAATTTTTTTTTAATCTTTGTAGTTTTATCCTAGAAATATCGCACTCACCCTCTCTATATTACCTTTGGCATATCCCAAGGGCGAAACCAAAATATATTTTTAGAAAGTGTGGGAACTATAATTCATGACTAGCCTTAGTTCTGTCCCACTATATTCTATACCGGTGTCATCTCTGGAATGTAAAGTGTGCTAAGTGATTATAAAGAAAAGAAAATAAGTTTGATTTTTTCAAAAATTATCTCCTAATTCATTTTAATCACAATGACATAAAAGCACATAAAATAAGTCGGCTAACAATGACACAACTCAAAAGTCAAAGCCTCCCAAATCCAATAAAGCAAAGACCAGACCAAACAACAAAATAAAAGTCGGTCAAATCTGCAACAATCATCTGCTGTTTTATGTGATCACTTTCCGTTTCAACTCCGACAACCTTCGAATCCAATTCAAAACTTGGAAAGTTTCAATCTTTTGTACGAGAAGAAATTGGGTTTTTCTATAATTCTGATTGTATGGTCTGGCAATGCCGCGCGTAGTGAGGTGAACAACCTCCGAAGCTATGTGCAAATCAAAGAAGAAGCTTACCGGAGCAGCGGTCCAGCCTTCGCCGAAGAAGAAGAATACTCCTTCGATCTCTCGGAACTCTTCCTCGCCGGCGCCGCCCGCCGGAAAACCGCCGCCGTTCGATCCTTCCTTGTCGACGAGTGGCCAAATCATAAGCTCCACCGCTTCGACCTCGAGCTTTTATATAAACTACAAGGATTCACAGTCGTGGAGATCTTCGCGATCGAGCAGGAGAGATTCCCTCTCGAGTCTCCGGGAGGCTCTCCCGGAGCAGACTCTCATCTATGATTTCGCCGAAATTCGCTCCGCCACGGATAACTTCTTACTCACGCCTTTATCCTCTTCCTCCACATCCACTACGTGGCGCTGCGTGGTCCGCGGCCAGAATGTCGTCATTATCCAGAGGAAGTTCCGCCGCCCGATTGAAACGCCGGAGCTCATCGACCGGGTGGCGATGATATGCAGAAGCCATCACTCCAGCTTAATTCCGCTCAAAGGAGTCTCGATTTCCGGGAATTATATTTATTTAGTCTACGAGTATATCCATGGAGCTAATCTTCGTGACGTTCTCAGAAACCCCCGAAACCCTAATTTCACGGTGCTCTCTAATTGGATGCAGAGACTTCAGATTGTTTCCGATATTGCTTCCGGACTCGATTATATTCACAATTCTGCCGGTCTAGGTTTCGACTTCATTCACAATCACATCAAGAGCTCGAGCATTATCGTCACGGAGCCTTCCCTGAGCGCCAGAATCTGCCACTTCGGCACGGCGGAGCTTTGCGGTGAGATCGCGAAGAGGAGCGTCGAATCTGAACTGGAAATTGAACCGAATAGCGCGAGTTTGAAGCGATCTAACAGCAAAGTGATGAAGTTCGAAGGTACCAGAGGGTACATGGCGCCGGAATTCCAGTCCACGGGAGCCGTGTCGCAGAAATCCGACGTGTACGCCTTCGGCGTTGTGGTGCTGGAGCTATTGTCGGGGTCGGAGGCGTTGAAGTACATTGTTGATGAGGAGACCGGAGGCTACGCGAGAATCTCAGTGATCGAGACGGCGAGAGCGGCGTTGGACGACGGCGGACTGAGAGGCTGGGCGGACCGCCGGCTGAGGGATTCGTATCCGGTGGATGTGGCGGAGAAGTTGGTGCGCTTAGCGCTGGAATGCCTGGATCATGACCCGAATGTCAGGCCGGATATGGGTCATGTTGCGGTTCGGGTCTCTCAGATGTATTTGGACTCTCAGACTTGGGCCGACAAGATTGGGCTTCTCACTGACTTCACCGTTTCCCTTGGACCTCGGTGACAACACTACCTTTTTTTTTTTTTTTTTTTTTTTTGTCTATATATTTTTTTCCCTATATATAAAAATTCAATTGTTATACCATGGACCAGAGTTCATTTTGCATTGTAAATTCTGATACAAAAATTATGCCATTCAATTAACTATTGTAAACCTTGATACAAAAATTATGACCTTCAGTTAACCATTTTATACATGCAGTTAACAGTTTCTGTATATATAAATAAATAATTTAACAATTGCTGATACATAATATGATAGTTATAGTTTCAAAAATTATCAACTGCAGTACAAAATGTGTCAAACTATATGTATAAAATCTGAAAATTATTTTTAGACCAGAATTTACAATGCAAGGTCTGATCCATGGTATAATTTGGCATTGCCTGACATGAATTTGACTGTATTTTTTCCAGTAAATAGTTAATAAAAATTGCAATACCATTTAAGCCTCTCTTCACTTTGCAAAAATCAAAAGCCTATCAATAATAGAAGTACAAACTACAAACAGAGAATGCTTCAGTGTAAGTAAAAACTGCAGTATTTACTAAACCATATTCAAACAAGAGAACTACCCACCAGTAAGCCACCAGCATCATCAATAATAGTATTCATCGTCGTCCTCATAGTACTCCTCGCCGTACACTGGATCTACAATAGCACGCTTCTCGACCTTTTTTTGTGCTTGCTTAGGTCTATAATACCATGTCCCGGTTTTCTTAACAAGATGCGTTAACAAGTGTCCTTCAACCTCATCCATTTCGTCGTCTGTCAATCTATTTCCGTACTTCCCTTTAATGATCGTCCAATGCTTGTTTAACCTTGCAAGGAGCTTTGTCAGTCGAATACTCTTCCTACCTCGAAATATGTAGTACCTGATAATGTCTCTGATGTAGCGCCCGATTTCTTCACCTCGAAGAATGTATATATACTGTAACACAAGAAACACCAGAACTCAGTATGGTAGTGAGCAAGACATCTTTCAAGTTAGATGTGTGGATGGAAGTAGGGAAGATTATAGAATTTAAGAATGACAAGTCATGTTTCGGGGAGTTGAAGTCTTGACTCGCATTAACCAACAATGAGTTTCTTACATGATTGGGATGGTGACTAAATTTGAAGGAATATAAAGTGATCTCTTAAACACACAAATCTGGTTTCGCAATGCAAGGGATGTATCTAAGTCAAGGAACTTGGTCTGGCTTATCACATAGTTCATGCAAACATGAAGAATGTACATATTCGTCACTTATCTGCACTCGCCAAAAAGAAATAAGTAAAAGCATAAAAGCAAAGTGATAACCATACAGAACTTTAGGTTTCAATTACACTTCCTGTACATGCTTCCACAATTGAAAACTATAAGCACATGAAAGAGGAACATGTTTCTTGAAATCCAATCCATGTTTTGATTGATTTCTTTTGAAGGAATTTTAATAATGCGTCTATTCCCCCACTCTTAAAAGAGAAACGAACTTTTAAGAAAACACCAGGTAAATAAATGAATACACTCTTTGTTATGTGTAAGCATCATTAAGAAAAACAAGATTATTGAATGCAGACACAAAAGATGGGCAAACTCTTTGTTATGTCTAAGCATCATTGAGAAAAAAAAAAAAAGATCATTATATGCAGACACAAAAAAAAAATGCACAAGAGGAGTGAGACAGTTATTACCGTATATATGAAACCCAAAGTAGCCATGGTCACTTGGAATATTTCATCAAGCTCGTCTGAAGTGTTTTCATCCTCTGATCCACCAGAACCCCCACCACTACCCCCTCCTCCACCACCAAGGCCACCACCACCTGTGCCTCCATCATCAAAGAACTCTTGCTTCTTAATCTGCTGCCTTAGCAAATCCTCAATTGATTGTTCCTTCTTGAAACTTCCCAATAAATTCTCCAAAGCTTCCTTTGGCGCAGCCTGGTTGACAGTTCAATATACAGTGAGCTTCACATTTCTCATAGAAAATTGGCTGGAAGCTTTTTGTGGTACCTTCTCTTTGAACATTCTAAAAGCATCTCAATTCTACATGATTTATCATCTGACATTTTCCCTTTATTTTCAGAGGGGGTGGTTGTTTAGGTGGAGGCATTTAAGCAATCAAACTCCATGGTTTATAAAGTCCTAATTAGCAGCACAATATTAACCTATGCCAAGCCATGGAACCAGCCTAGATTTATTCAAACCCCTACGCTGACAAGTACAATATTGACTTTAATTTCTAAAAACAGATCAAATACACTATCATTTAAAGACTTTAATTAGTTACAACTAAAAAGAGAATGAAGCAGGAAAAAATTAGAAAGCACTGACAACAAAAGTTCTAGACTTCACAATGAAAAAAAAAAAAAAAAACCAGAGGCAAATACCACACTACAGCCAAAAAAGAAATGAACTTGAATGTCATAATATAGATGAATTTCTTTCATAATGCTCTTATGTTGATTTTATATCTTTGTCGGATCAATCCTGAGCAAGAGACATCGACTGGGATTCCAGACAGTGGACAACAATTCAGCCCAAAGAGAAGCAATAACATAAGAACAAAACAGACAGTAAGGAACCAAGAAACTGAAAGCCACCGGAGAAGCATCCTATTTCTTTAGTTAATATATAGCCTACACTTAATTGCACTCAACAAACAAAAGAAGGCTTATAGTAATTGATTAATTAAACAGCACTCAAGCAACAAAAGCTTCGCCTTCTAGGCTTCTACACTCTCCTGGCTCCAACATCCAGGCCATGATCCAGATTAAGAAAACGGATAAACTCACAAACGGAACTAACCGGCTTAATGAATATGCTTACCTGATCGCCACTGCCTGACTTCTTACCACCAAACAAACAGACAGGTGCAGATTGTCTGTATGTAGAAGTACTAGCCGTGGCTTTAAGGGAAAACTTACGAAGACCTGCAACCGTGTAAATTGAAGAAGACTTATTCAGTCTCAAGGAAACCGGAAATCCAGGATTCGTTGCTGGGGCAGCACTTCGAGATGGAGCAATGGGAGGGTAGGCCAATATGCAGGGATTGACATTCACGCAGTTCATCTCACCGAGTCGTTCAACAAGCTCTGAACCTCATAAGATTGAAGTCCCCGGTATCACATCTATCTATGAACAATGAGCTACATGTCAAAAATATACTGCGCAGAACACGACATACGAATTCGAGAAATGCAAAGAGAGACCAATGGAGTTCGTGATTAACATCAATTCTAAGCTCCAAACCAGTAAGGCTTTCAAAATGAGAGAAACCAAAAAAAAAAAAAAAAACAATTGAAAATAATCGCAAGCTTCTGGAGAAATAGGAAATTCCTAGTAAATCAAATTCAGCTGAAAATTGAAACAAAATGAGATAGAAAGTTAGTTCCAGGATAGAGACTTACATGAATGGGGGGTCTCGGCGTTTCGCTCCGGTTAGCGGAGACAGGAGAGTCGTCTGGGCAAGGAGATGATAGGGCTAAATTGGGTTGGGCTAAACCCCAAGTTTTTACGATAGTTGTATATAACTTTTTAAAATTTAATAAATAAATTCTTCCAAAAATAAATAAATAAATAAATATATGATAATCTAGTCAGCAAAAATTAGAAATTAACATGTTAAAAATGTTAATTACTCTTTTTAGTTCAGTGACTTATTTATACTTTATTCTTATTTTCTATGTGCAATGCTCAAAAATAAATATCTAATATTAGTACTTAATCTTAAAATTATAATTATATTACAATAATTTTTTAAAAATCATACTATATAAATTTAAAAAAAAAAGTCATAAAAATTCATATTATATTAAAGACTATAATTAATATTTAAGTAATCTAATAAAAACATAATAAGTGTGAATGAAAGTTATACCCTTGATTTATGTCCGTTTTTTTCGTTAAGTTTTTTTGTACATTATGCTCTAAAGGTTGTACATTAAAATATTTTTGACAAACATACCCCTACCGTTATAACTTCCGTTATCTTTTCCACTGTTGTTACCATGCACATGCATCCACCATATATTTTCTTATCTTCTTCATTAATAATAATATATACACATTAAATATTTGAGTTATATGTTAATTATTACATAAATATAAATATCAAATTTATAAAAATGATTTACATTATTATTATTATTTAGAATAATTTAAATATCTAAAATCTAAATAAATTTAAAATTTTAATATAATGTATTAATATTGGGCACCTATTTTTTGCGCATCGCGCATAAAAAATACTAGTAATAATTAATAATTGTTAATGTATGATTTTTAGATATGATAAATAATTAAAGAGCCTGAATTATAGCCAAGTTCCAACTCAGTTCCTAAGTTATGACCGTTTCTAAGTTTAGTCCCTCAGTTATGAGTAAAGTTGCGAGTTTGATCTCTAGAGTTAATATTCTGTCTACCGCTAACGAAAAACATAAAAACAATTTAATAATAGAGGGTGAAATATGAATTTCAAATTATAATTCTCTTTTTATGTTGAAACTCGTTGCGCAACAGTCATTCTTTTCTTCTTATACCTACAATTGAAGGTCTACTCTGAAATCTCCCACTTCTGTTAGATATAAGAAGAAAATAACGATGGTTGCGCAATGGGTTTCAACATACAAAGAAGATTATAATTTGAAATTCCTATTTTAACTCTCTATTATTAAATTATTTTCAAATTTTCTGTTAGCTGCAGACAAAATATTAACGCTAAGGACTAAACTCACCACTTTACTCATAACTGAGGGACTAAACTCGGATACTGCCATAACTTAGGGACTGAATCGGAACTTAATTATATTCAGGGACTAAATATGCAATTTTCCCATAATTAAATATAATTATAATAACATTTAATATATATTAATAATGTTTAATAAAAATTTAACAGTGTAAGAAAATTACAATATTTATAGCGCAATATACAACTCAATAAACATAAAAAATATTGACATAAATCAAAAGTACTAAACTGGAAATATTGACATAAATCAAAAGTACTAAACTGGATTTACTATTACGGAGTATAAGTTTTTTAGATTTAGATTAGAAAATCCCTATTATACACCGACATAGACAGGAATGAATTTGTAAAGTACAAAAACTAGTATATGACTCAGAGATTTTCAGTAACAGAACACTATACATTCATTTTTCATTCTTGAAGTCTGAAAAGAGAAGTTTGTTTCAAGGCATGGCCCAGGAAAAAGATAGCACATCATCTTCCTCACTGAAACTCCTGTGCAGTTTTCCCAGCAATCTGTAAAATGCTTAAATGCTAGATGCAACAACCACCATCTCTGCAGCAAAATTTGAATAAATAACCGCTATAGCGGAGGTGCAATGTTCACTGCTCACAATGAGAACGCCTGTATTGGTCGATATGCAACAGAAAGAGTTAAATTACCCCAAAATTATTTCATGCTAGTTACCAAAAGAAACACAAAGAGACTAGTTGTGGAGTGTTAGGAAAATGTTACCCGGATTATCTGATTGCGTAGGGCGATATTCATTTCCAGACAATATCTCCTAAAAATTGAAGAGCTGGAACGCCTCTGATTTCTACGTCAACAAGGGGTGCCTGGACCAACATCAAACTACAAAGTTCTGGATCACTCTGGATCATATCGAGAGCACGTGCTTGATCCTGTCAATGTTTGAACAGTCAGTTTATTCCAGGCTATATATAACATATTTGGAGGAGTCCATCGAGGGTTAATTCATGAGCACAGGCTTCAATACATCGACTGTTAGAATGCAAAGAAAAATACTAGGTAACAGATGAAATTGTACTTTGCATTTTTTGTTTAGGTGCGTGCACTTTTCAATTACAACTAGGAGCTGATACTTGGTAGTTAGTACTAACAAAAACCATGGGCCTTCCAAGTTCCGACATAGAAGAAGATAGAACTCAGTTCTACACATATGATGACATTAAAGCCTACCCTCTACCAACCAATTAAAAATGAGGCAGGAAACTGCCAAACAAAAAGTGTGATTTGTCAACTAACCAATTGAAAATAGTGACTGCAGCACATGCTTCCAAGGAAAGGCTAACATCAATTTGTGGAAAGTGATTTGGGGCTCTATGTGTACAGTAACGACAGTATGGCATTATACACAGCTTAGATAATAACAAAATGTGCATAGAATAGTATGTTCATTCCAGAAATTAATAGCTCCACAGGCAGATGTGAGTTTCAGAATAAGGACTATTTTGAAACTGGAAGAATTGTAACTTCATTAGGATAAATACATAAAGTAACACTGGTGCAAATATTTGTACCTTCCTTTTCATTGCACAGAACTTGCAGTCTGAAACAGACGGAGGAAGAACCTGGTTAACAATGAGCCGCTTAACAGGGACATCTTCCTTCTTCAAGGAAGCACATAACCTTGATGATTCACTAACTGCCATCACCTAGAAGATGTAGCTTTAACCAGGTTATCAAACTTTTCATATCAGGCATACAGTAACATTTTCCAATCCAAATTACAGCTAAAGGTCTACAAGATACTCCAAAGCTCTAAGCCACTGAAGCAAGATAAGGCGTAGGGTGGTCAAAATAGGCATGTAGTCAATTCCTCTCAAGGAGCTAGATACAACTTAAGTTTATCACTTAGTGGCCAGTAGCAACATCAAGAAAAACATGGATTTCACTAATCAAGGCAAGTAATAGGTGTCAATTAGTTATAGGATTCATTACCGTGGGAATTGTTACAATGACAAATTCCGTTGAACTTGTGTCACGAAAAAGTTCCCTTACTTTTATCATCCTTTCCCGTAATCGCTCCAATTTATCGGCCTGCACAATGCAGTAAGGTTGTTCACAACAATAATAGGTATTCTTAGATAGATGTTATCAAGTCCAAGTCAGTCAAGCTTACAGCATCTAGTTTTGGGGCTTGTTCCTGGCCAAAGACAGATTTTATTGCTGAAGTAGCTGACGTTATCTTCTGCCTCAACTGTAATATGATCACATAATAGAAAGTAAACCAGGATGTGAATTATACATATCATCTTATCATACAATCTTAAATCCTACAAAGATAAATAGGTTCTACCTTTAATATCTTTCCTATTGATGCATCCAAGAAGTCTGGCAATGATAGGAGCCGTAGAGTATGACCCTGTGAAAGTATGAAACACAAATAATCACTATTATGAAATATATCTTCAATAAAGTAATAGGCAATAATAACAGTTTGCTTACCGTGGGGGCAGTGTCAAACACTATACGGGTGAACATATTGTACTCTTCTGATTCCAGGAATTGAATAACCTGGCAAGAGGTTGATTAATCAGTAAAAGCAGAAAAATTAGTACAATGTATTTTGTGGAATATACAATCAAAGTGAAAAAGCACTGAAAATATTGCATGCCTTTGAAATTGCAATGGCTTCATCTAGGCCAGGAGGTGGTGTATCCAGCAACTCTCCAAGCTTTAATTCACCAATCTGTGCCCATCACAAAAATAAGGCAGCTAATAGTTAACAGCAAAGAATGCTATAAATTGTTCATTTGTTAGAAGAGCAAAGCTGAAAGTTTAGTGTTGCATCTGCATAAGCAATGGAGTGGAAAATATACAAAGAAAATCAAGATCATTTATTTACAGAATCCTCAAAAAGTCCAAGTCAATTATCCCTACATAGCAAGTATACACATCATTTGTGTCAAGAGTTAAAGAATGGTTATGCAATAAAAGAAACCCCCACTATTAACTAAGAAGTATCAAGTTGCTTTTTATTATTGATGCTGACTCCTTACTCAAGATAGCTTTAATCACTGGATATATGACATATTTTACCAGCTTAGCAGAAGTTGGAATGTGTACAAATTTAGGAAGAACTTTACCTGATCTGCAAGCACCCCAAGGCCCATGCCATCCATGAAGTCTTTGACCCCTGATCCCCCACTCTTCTGGGCTGCACTACGAAATTCTTCTTTGGCCTTTTCAGGGTTTAACTGTCATAGTCCATATATTCACAATTTGAGGCCAATGCAACTATTATTCAAAGAGAAAGGAGGAAGAGCAATGTATTGTCAATATTCATTGTGCAGTAAAGAAACTACTGCAAAAAGCTTTTGCACCCACCTCAAGGGCAAATAATGGAGAGTATGGTCCTTCCACTGGTACAAGCGTCCCCCCAGCCAAATCCTATTGTAAATGTTTGAGCAGAAAATCTTTGTTACTTTAATCACAAAAAGAATTAATATGAAGGAGATAAATAGAAAATAAGAATTAAATCTCTTAAACCTGTGCAAAAGAATCACTCAACGAATGTGCAGGATCAGTTGAAACCACAAGAGTTGGGTGACCACTGTTGGCAAATTTTACAGCAAGTGAAGCAGCACAGCTTGTTTTACCGACTCCTCCTTTTCCACCAAGCATATAGTACTTCCGCTGTGTCCCAGAGACCATTTCATCAAACCCAGCAGTGGCATCTGTCGGAGCAGCTACTGATCTTACTGCCAAGAAAAAATATTAAGAGAA